CGCCTGGAACCCCGCCGTCGTCTCCTCCGCCAAGGCCAGGCGCTCGCCCCCCGGCGCAACCGCGCACAGCGCCGCCCCCAGGCCGTGGGAGATCTTCTGTGCCCAGAGCCGCGTGAGCGCCGGAGGCGCGGCCTGGAGATGGGGGCGCTGAACCCTCCAAACCACGCGGAAACACGGGAAAACATAGGAATTCACCCCATATTTGTTTGGGGGATAGAGACAATTCACCTCATATTTTTGGGGGTTCTAGCCCATGTCACCCCATACTGCTGTTGATCTCTCTGCAAAAAGTGGAAAACTGTTTGCGGCTTTGGTGGCAAACCCTTCATTTCCCAAAAAGTGAAAGTCCAAAGATCCAACCCAAGAGCAGCCAAGCAAACCACCCAGAAACAATAAACAAAAAGAAACTTCCCCGGGGGTAAAAACCCGTGTTAGTATGTATCTTTGGGATGATAACCTTTGTCACCCATGCTTTTTGGGGCTGATAGCCCATGTCAGCCCAAAATGTTGGGGCTTATAAGCCTTGTTTAAGGGAATGAGGGTCCAGGTACCTGAGTGCTCAGTTGAAAAGGCTGTGTGTTGCTTAATTGGGATTTGGGCGCCGAAATGGTTGGCTTTCCTTTTGGTCTCCCTTTAAGCCAGGCTGAAAAGGGCAGATGCTCTCAAAAACACAAACCCATGTTGTCTTGAGTCTACCAAAAGACATGCAAAGAAAGTAAAGGCACCTGTTTCGTCTCCTAACCTTCACTACGCAATTGGCACTCCACATGCAACCGCCAGCTAGCGCAGGCATCAGAAAGTCGTCTGGGGAAATGAATAATGTTCCATCCCTCTCTTGGTCTGAGCTGTGGTCTAGTTTTTGGAGGCCCACTTGTTTAACGGATCTTGAACTGACTTTTCGGGATCTAAACTGGACCAGTTAACGAACCAAGGGTTGAAAGGACGCTTAAACAAGTCGGTCCTAAACCGTGCCATTCTCGGGGTGCCACCGTTTGGGTGTTTCTTTCCAGGGTTAGCCCAAAAAATGTATTGCCCACGTAGAAAAACTACGCAAAAAGGGTCCCAGGGTACCCTCCAAAAAAAGGAAAGCCATTGTGAGACAATCCCATCTGGCTAGGTCCACACCCGGGTCGTCTCATGAGAGACCGAAAGGTTTTTTCTTGGGGCCTGGACCAATGAAAAAGAAAGTCTTTGTTCAAGCCTGGTAGGCAAACCGAAACTGTGGCTGGAAACAAGAGAAAAAAAACAAATCGCACCACCTGATGCACCATGATGGAAACCATCACGCTTCCCTAGACCAAGACCTTACTATTTGATGGCCCTTGGGGGTTCATGGCCCTCATATTTGGGCTAGGGGTTGTTGGTATAGGGGGAATCAAATCATTCCCTTGGGTTTCTGCACGGGCGCTTCTAGAACGCCTTTCAGCGAAGGGGCGCTTCGCGAAGGGCCTTTCAGGCCACTCAAGGTTGAAGAGGCAAAAGACTTGGGTATGTCAAGCTTTTGGAAACCCCAAAAAACCCATGGTTTGTCCTTTGGCTTCCCTTCAAAGCAACCTTGAACATCGGGTGCAGCCTCAAAGAAACACATCTTCTCCCTACCCTTCCGGACTTGGCCCACTGGGGAAGCCGGCAGATCATACTGTGGGTGGACGAAATCCTGCACCAAAAAAGAACCCGTGGGATTGTTGGTATTTATAGGGGTAATCATCATTCCAGGGTTTCTTAGGTGGAGCAGGATTGCGTCCATCCACATCCACAGTATGTTCTGGCTCGGTTCCATGACTTGGCCTACCCCAAAATCGCAGGGACCTTAGAAAAGACTTCCCTCCCCAGCTCCCAGTTGAGTCATAATCAAACCCTGATAGCAAAAATGGTCTACCAAGAATGAAGACTGAAAAGGCGGAGATCGTTTCGCACCGAGAAATATGGCAAGGAGATTGTCCCTTAATTTTCACAACATCCACCCCAGTTTATCCAGCTGGGTTTAGTGGAGATCCAACAAACTTTTGCACGGGCTTTCCTCACCCCTATCAATCAACCAGGGGGGGATGAGAATATGGGGTCAACATTCCCCTCCACTTCCCCCCAAAAGTCGGGTTTTCAGCCCGCCGAATAGCTGGAAGTTCCGCCAACCACCGCCACCGGACGCGTCCGACTCCCTCCGCCTCCGCCTCCGCCGCCGGGGTCAGCTCGGAGCAGGCCAGGCGCCCGTCGGCGCCGCTGGTCCACAGCCTCCGCCCGTCCTGGCAACGAGAGGCTCGCCGAGGCGACGACTCGGAGACGCGGCTCTGCGCGAGTGCCGCGCCTGAGGGGCTTTGGCCACGGGCCGCTTCAAAACGGGACCATATCGGATTCCGATTGGCTGCACCTTTCATGGCTGTGGCCCAAAATTTGGCACCATTTTGGGTGGCTGGAAACATGACTACGACCTGCGTAACCCCAGCTGCTTACATTTTGAGCCACACCCATACAGCTCACTGAAACCAAAACTTGCTGGTGCCCCATAAACCATCCAACAAATAACCCCTGGGCTCATTCTTACATTGGCTGAGCACCAGCAAGAAAACGCATAGGTTTTGGCCATGGCTGAATGAATGAATTTATGGCTTCCCTAATGCTCCCTTGCAATGCAGAGTTGGTAACCATGGCTGACTAGTCGAGCTTCGCAGAATTGAAACAAACGGGACAGGGGGGGGGTACCTGGAGAACCCAATCATGAAAAAGAAAGGCATCAACCCAAATAAGCCAAAATAACAGCATCGTTTGCAATTTCTGTGTTTGTTTCGGAAAAAAGGCACCGTGGAGGGCCTTCAGAAAAAGCTTCTATTTTCCGTTGCGCGCCCGCGCTGCAAGATTGGTTCAACATAGCCGAACCTGCCGGTGTCATCCAAAATTCAATGTCTCGCCCAGCATGCCCACACACTGTCAATGCGGGAAGAACAAACAAGCTATGGGGAACTCCCTTCTTGGCCGATTTGGACAACACCGACCATATTTAAAACAAGGTGATGCAAAAAACAGCGGATGTGCAACAAGGTGGTTGCAACACTGATTCTTGTGCGTGCTCCTTTTGCCTTTGACCAAGGAGTTGACCGACTGGTTGAGCAGGCTACGCCACTGCATGCCACGGCATTATGTAGCAGCGAAGCCATTGAGAGAGTCAACACTTTTTGCTTGCACGAATTCTTACAACCTTAGGGGTTTCCATTGAAAACCAAAAGCTCCGCATTTTGTCCAGCACTCATCCTACCTGGGCCATGTTATTTCCACACACATGTCAATGTTTTTTTTTATCAGGGCGCACAATTGACAGGAGATCGCCAGCACTTTCAAGCAAAGAGATGGGTTTAAGGAGCGCTCCGGCAATTTCCGCCATTTCGACGCGAATTTCCGCCATTTCGACGCGTATTTCCGCCACTGTTTTGGAATCCGAATTTCATGAGCAGTTCTCACTGGTACATTTGCAGGCATTTGTTGATTGATTTGTAGATGTTTGCCTTAAAATTAGGATGTCAAGTTGCTAGACAAAGGAGTTAGGACTTGGAATTTAGTTGGAACAAATCAAAAATGATATGGCAAATAAGGTCTGATATTGCTTTTTGTTGCGTGGATAAAAGGCTTGGGCACACTCATGCCAAAATCCATCAGGAAGGCCCTGCCTGCATTCATACGTGCAGTTGCTCACTAAAATGCTTGGTGTTTTCTCGCTGGGCAAACGTGCGTGTTTTGCATCCTGACTGAGCTTGCATGTTTCCGCATTGCGCCGGGGAAGGCAGATAGCATGAGCATTGTGATGCTAACGACTCCGTAGCAGCTCGTCCGTCATCTTTGCAATGACTCACGCAAGCTGGAAACACGGCACTGCGCAGGGCACGGGCGTTGGTTCCCCATGCCCACGCATGCCTAAGTATAAGCACAACCCTGAATCTTACGCTGAAGCACTGTCTGACACTGCCTGAATATTGCTGCGCACTGCTCCTCCCACCCCAAAAACAAGGAAACGTAATTGTTACAGCAAAATGAAGAGTTCCGCAAAAAACAACGTTAATTTCTGGAATGACGTTTTTTCTTGGCACTTTGGGTTCTGCAGGTAACTGAAGGTCCACAAATTGAAAGTTGATCAGTTGACTGGTGGCTTCCGAATTGAAACCATCGCCGCGTTCCCACGTTTCGAAGTTCCCCTTAAAGGACCACGGCTCGGACACCTTCAGGGGTGCCTCACGTGTGCTGATCCATTCCGGAGTGGATTGACCGCAAGTCGATCCACTCCTTTTACATAGCAAAGCGGTCGGAACTCAAAGGCTGGCTATGTTGCATATTGACCCCAGTGGGTCAGTTGTTTTGGGATGGCGGTGTCATGCAACAAAAGCCGCAAGAGCACCACTTCCGGAGTGGATGGCGCAAAAATGATTTTACAAAAAAAAAAGGGCATGCACTCAGGAAGTGAGTGCAGGGGCTGATCCCCTTCAGATGAACATGGAATCCAAATTATCTTGCGGAATCTCCTGTTGGGTGGACTCGTTAGCGTCAACATTCGCGTCTTGGGTAGGGTGCCGGTTTTCTTGGATTTGTTTCAAGTTCATATCTAGATTTGATTCAATGGCACCTGCCTGTTTGTTGGATTTGATTATGTGTGGGAGCTGCAGAACTTAACCCTAGGAGTCCAGACCCCAAATTTGAGGGCCTTGAACCCCCAAAGGCCTGAAATAATGTCTTGGGCTCCTAGGGTAACAGCTTGAAACAGGTGTGAAAATATGCCAGTGGTGATAGATTCCCTTTAATTCTAGCAGGGGGAAAAAATAAATAAATCAGCAAATGGAAGTAAACATGTTGAAAACAGGTGCTCGGCCCATCTACCATCTGCCCATCTGCCCATGTGCCTCGGACAGCCGCAGTGTCTCGCAGGCGCCGTTGTGGGGCGACCCGTGCAGCTCTGGCGTCCGAAACACCGAGGCGTCCGATGCGGACGCCTCCGCGGGTCCGTGGGAATCGCTGGCCATGGCCAAAGCTTGGAAGCTGGAAGGGTAGGCCTGAAGGCTTGTTCTTTGCTCCGAAACGATTCATGCTTTCCGAAGGGTGTTCTTTTTTTTCTGACTTGTTATGTCCGGCTCATTGTTTCCTTGGACTGCTTCGTTTGGTGCTTGAGATACTTCAGTTTACCTGTGGGTTGATCTGTTATGAGTCCATGCAACAAAACCATCTTCTGTTCACATTTTTGTGTCTTGGGGTGCGTGAGAAACAAGCTCGCATTTAAGGAGAAAACGGGAGCCTTTTCTCCCCAACCCATCTGAAAAGAAAGGGTACTTGGAAGTCTGAGAACCAATTTGAGGCAGTCCCAATGTACCGCCCGACTCAGTTCACATGCGCATGCTGTCGGTCTGGCTGCGTCTTGAAGTGGCCTCTTGCTGGCTTGGCTTTCGGAGCCGCAAAGCTGCAAGGAAAACCCTGGCAAGTCTGCAGCCCTCCTTATGAACACTGGGGCCTAAATCATTGGCAGCTTGAAGACTTTAAGACCAAAGTCATACTCTCACGCCTGCAACATTTATGTGCTTGCTTTTTGTTGACACATGCATGAGCCATGGTACTAAGCGTCGCAAAGGTCCGGGTACAGCCAGGCCGGTTCGCTTCAATACCGCTTGAACTGGTGGCAAGGTCATTGCAAATCACTGACTTGCAAACAGCGGCCGAAGCAAATGCTAGACCAAGACAACCAAGACTGCATCGTTGAACTGAACCCCGACGCAGCCTTGAAAGCGCGAGGGCCAGATTTCACAGGAAGGTCGCAGCCTAGAGCGCACTCGTAGATCAAAGCCACGAATCGAAAGGCTGCAAAGCGCCGCCCCGGCGCTGCGACAAAACAGTTTGAGCGCATGTGCAGGCCAGCATTACTATAGCATTACTGTGCTTGCCAACCACAACAGCGGTCTCAATCCGCAACTTGCCGCAAAGTTCTGGAAACAGCCAAACCGGCTGGGTCCAACTGCTCCCAGCTTTGCCCGAGTCACGGCAACACATTGTAAACCTCTCCTGCTGCGATGTGCGTTGACGCGAAGCCACTCAAGCCAATGCTTGACAACTGCATCCAAGAATTCACTCCCAACGAGAGACGGCATGCTTTGGGAACTAGGGAGCTCAAGCTCGGCGTGCTTTCGGCATCTAAGGAAATCGGCTGAACACACAAGAAAGATGGATTCAGCGATGCTCAGATTGAAGCCTGTCGCGCTGGAAGGGCATTTAAGGAAACCGGCTGAACACGTTTCACATGGCTTCATGTTCGCAGGTGATGCTCAAATTGGTCAAAGGTTTCTGCGCAGCCGCTTGCGGCATCTCCGGCAGGGCCGGGCTGAGAAATTCATGCTGGCTGTCAGTTTACCAACAAGGCCGCATTAACTTCCGGCCCCGTTCAAGACAGAATCACTGGTGGTTCCAGCAAGAGGTGAGAGGCACTCTCATTGCACCTGCTAAGACAGTCCTCCAAATGCTCAACATCTCTCTAGCTGAATCCAAATCCTGGCGGCCGAATCGCAACCACAATCCGCTTAATTATTGTGTTGGTTGGTGATCTGCCCTCGTCACCATCTCCTCACAGTCTACTTCATAGGCTGGAGATGGATATGGAAGGGTTCTCTGTCCACCTTTCCCCAGCTTATGAATCCTCTAAATATTTTTTCCCTTTCACATTCTATCTCACCCCTTCCCAGTCTCTATCTTGGGGAAGGAAAAGGTAAGAGAATGTGATGGAAAGGTGATAGACAGGGAAGGGAGGTGGCGGTGAGGCAATCATGTTGCAAATTTTCCCGAATTTCGTTGATTCAAGTTCATGCTCGGTACGTCTTCTCGTTGCAGCGGGCCCCCCCAGCAAGTCCAAAGGACAAGTTAAACGCGCCCATTTGACAAAAGTGCTGGCTTTTACTGGGAGCCCTGGCATGAGTAAACGGAGGGTGTCTTTTTCACGCTGTTTCTTGCGGGGCTTTCTCACGGCTTGCTCACGCACCTCTTTCGTGGTGTTGAAAGCCAGCCTCTTGACTTAAAGGGCTGGTTAAACGAGCAAGATGCGACAGCTAAACGAGCAACTGGAAGCGCTGGGGGGCCTAGAGAAGTACCGGATGGCGAAAACTGCAGCATCCGTCTGAGCGCAAGAGGAATCTCCTCGGCTTTGCCTCCCCAAAGTGGTCCAAAGGACAAGTTAAACGCGCCCATTTGATAAAAGTGCTGGCTTTTACTGGGAGCCCTGGCATGAGTAAACGGAGGGTGTCTTTTTCACGCTGTTTCTTGCGGGGCTTTCTCACGGCTTGCTCACGCACCTCTTTCGTGGTGTTGAAAGCCAGCCTCTTGACTTAAAGGGCTGGTTAAACGAGCAAGATGCGACAGCTAAACGAGCATCTGGAAGCGCTGGGGGGCCTAGATAAGTACCGGATTGCGAAAACTGCGGCATCCGTCTGAGCGCAAGAGGAATCTCCTCGGCTCCTCCCCCCCAAAGTGACACTGACAGAAAACCAGTGTGTCCACCTCAGGCAAATGTAAGACCTTCTGAAGCGGATATACACTCTCTGGTCGGTCTTGATGCTCGGGATTTGAAACTGCACCCAGGTTTTCTGGCTGTTCAAGAAGAGCAAACGTTGCCCTTCTCGCCAGATGTCTCTCATCCACGAGACAATTCGTGCACACGATCTGCTAGTAGTTGCGAGCTTCCGCGGGCAAAAAACCTTCCGGAAACCTGCCGCGAACCTTCCGTGTGGTTGCTACCTTGTTTGTTGAGCGGGACAAAAACACGCCACTCGCGTGACCGCCAGCAGCAATGATCTTGTTCTTCGGGGTGCTTCATGGCTTTTGCTTCTTTGTAGAGCTTAGGCTCTTGTTCACGATAAATTGGGGGAAGTAACATCATCTTGCCTTGACTGCGAAGCACGGAGCGACGGAGCGTAGTAGTAGGTCGCACGCTTACCTATCTGGCACTGGGCCTGGAGAGTCCTTCGAAACCGCTCCGCCAGAAGCTTGTGGCAAGTTGCGTGGATTCCGGCCCCTCGTTTTTCCTTTTGGGAAGGGCTCCCCTCAAACTCAACCCAAACACAGTGCCAATTGGTTTTTGCCCGAAATCCACTCGGCATCTGAGTTGTTTTGCAAGTCGCAGCTTGAAGCCGCTGTTGGCAGACACGTGGGCGCGTGAAAAACGAAGTCATTCACTGATGGCAACAAACGCAGATGTTAGGCAAAAAGTACTGCAAAGCGTTCTTCTCAAGCGACCTGGTAAACAAAAGCATGGCCAACCGAGGTGCAAGCAGTGGGTTGCAAAGTGCTATTCAAATGTGAGTGTCAATGTGACGGCAAAACGAATGCGGTCGGTACACTGTGGGTACAACTACAGCGTGCGACCGGTTGCGAAGGCACATCTACACTTTAATCGCCAGGAAAAGGCCAGCCGAAGCTTGCGAACCTAGTCGGCGAAATGCGACCCCACGACCCCTCGCAAACCTCAGGCAGGCTGGACAAACCTATGCGAGCGCATTTCTGCTGTTCCCATGAAGTCCTGACCAAACAGGATTTGCCCTGACAATACGTGTCATTTGAGTGTCGAGCGGAGGCACATCGAGGTCACTTAGGTCACGAAGAGTCCAGTGCTGCGGTGTCAGTGTCGACTAGCTCCTTTTAGTGTCATTCAAGTGCCGCCGGTGGCTGGTCACTAACCGTGCCCACGTGATTCCAAGTGGCGCTTCTGTAGCCCAAGTGGCATTAATCTCGCTTGAGTGATCTCTTTAACTTCAGCTAAGTGACAACTTTCCCTTGAATAGTGCGTCGAAACCAGAAAAAGCACCCCAGGCGATGCCATGGAAGCTCCAGGGCCACCCCGAAATGGAGAGCTTCCGGCTGGTCTCAGGGACTGTAGCTGCACTAGGAGAGCTGTGAAAAGTCAGGCTCAGCATTTGGGTCCTTTCCGAAAGCCTTCGCTCCCATACGGAGGGCAGAGCGCTAGCGCGTCGTCATGCCTAATGCTCCGGGCAAAGCTCATTGCAAGCCGTACAAAGGGAGTAAAGCAATCTGCTGTTCTGACTGCGAGCGTTGAGCTGAGTATCAGCCTTGAAAACTTGTCTTGGCTGTATCTCAACGCGCGCCAGCCTTAAAGCGCAAGGGCTGGGAAGTCGCGGCGCAGACGGTGCCGCGAGGCAAGCCTCGCGCCTGCGCCAGCCAGCATATCATGCCTGCCAGCCGCAGTAGCAGCAGTCTCAAGCTGCAACTTGCCACGAAGCCTTGGGCACAGCCAAGGTGTTCGGGTCGAACCGCTCGCAGTGCTGCTGCTCCTCTGGACCACCGCATCCTTGAAGGGAATGAACGCGTGCCGGCCTTGAACGCGTCGGGCCCGGGACCCGAACGGACGGCGCCGAAGAACCGAGCCGCCGAATCAGGGAAGTCCAAAGGCAGCAGCTTAGAGAAGACGGAAATGAAGATGTTCACCTTCCGGACTTTGGTGGACCCCGAGACGCTGGACGGCGCAGAGGGGTGGCCCCTCAACATCAGAGGATCCTGAGAGCTGGTTCTTAATGCACACAAAGAAGCCACACCAACCAGAATATAGGCAACCCCCAAAACACAGCCGGCACGGCGCCGCCCAGACATCAGGGGTCCCCCAGTTAGCCCACCCCGGCCAGATTTCACAGGAAGTCGCAACCTAAAGCGCACTCGCACATCAGCCCACGGATCAGAATGCAGCGCCGTGGCGGTATTGTGCGGGAACCATGCGGCCGCCTGTCGCAAGCTGGGCCCGCAGTGCTTTGGACATAGGACATCGGCAGAACACATCGCGGGCTTCGGCTTTGCACGTGCTCAAAGTGTTTAGCAAGGCAACGCAAACGCAAAAGCTGCGAGTGCAAGTGAACGCCGGCGATCCCTTAAGTCGAAAAGTCTGTTGTCGATATGACCCAAGAGGACGCTATCTTCGACATTCTAAGGTAGGTGGGTCAATCCCCAGACCGAAGCCCCACTTCTTCCGCGTTGGCAAAGATGC